CTGTTGTTGCCATTGTTGAAATTGTTGTTGCCATACTTCCCATCTTTTCCATTCTTGCCATTTTTGTACCATCTGAAATAAAATAGTAAAACAAACTAATTCATTGTAAGGCTTAAACATATTGTGTCTAACTTACAGCAGGATCTATTGCATTTGGTTGAAGTGACTGATTTATCTATAAATTACAATACATAATATATTTTTGTATTTATAAGATTAAAGAAATAATAAAATATAAATTAATATTTAGGTATAGAATGGCCTTTAGAATTATATAAGTAACAAGTTTAACTTTTGTAGAGTAAAAATTGAAAGTTTTATTTACATGTTATTATAGATAATATAAAAAAAAATTTCTATTTGATAAATAAACCTACGTCTAATAGGTGTAAAATAAAAAAGTATGCGGACAAATAATGAAATTTGTGATAGATTACATAATATTATACCTAGAGCTCAAAGTATGAATAAGAGTGCTAATATTAGCTAATAATGTTTTATTTTAATTTATTATACAATTGAAGCAAAAAGTTTCTGCATAATTTTAGTAAATATGTCAGTATTTAATTTAATTATGATTATATTTTTATAAAATATCTATAAATATTGAATACTTTGAATACTAAGTAAATTTATTTTAGAAATAATACAGAATCATTACTTTATTTTGTTAGAGTACAAACTAAATATGGCAGGAACCTACAGGTGCTCAAATAAAAATAATATAATGAAATAAGATATTCTGAAAGTAAAATTTGCTGTGATATGTGTTAATAAGACAAAGACAACACAAACAGGCATAACAAATTGATATAATTAATAAATGTAATACCTATCTAAGTTTAGATATACAATATAATATATTATTAGATCTCAGTATTTTTTTTTTTTTTGTATAGATATCCAACAATTATTACTTGAGCAAGAAACAACTTAATTCAACAAAAAAATATTTTATTATTTTAATAGGTATTATTTAAATATTACCAATTTAATAAGTTATCATTTATTATAAATATTTGCTATCCGTTCAACCATATAAAAGATATATCTGTTGGCTGTGAAGTTAAGTGTAAACTATACTTGTACATGGAGACAAAATAAAAAGTAATTATTGAGTATTGGACCACTACCTTCCTTCATAAATTTTTGAGTAGGCCACTAAATAATTTAGTATACATAAATATGAAAGAAATAAGAATTATTCATATTTTTATTGTTTAATTTTACCAAATGAAATACAGGCAATATAATAGATATAATTTGCAGTATAAATAAAAAACTTTTACTTACAGAAATATTTTGCATAGTATTTGTACTATAAAATGGGTAAGACTGCACATTGTTCTCATAGCTATTAACTATAGGTTTGGTAGCTGTAGGCGGTGGAACTGAAGTAGTCCACGGAGTTGGATACATTTTATTTTACTGAAATAAATACTCAAAAATTTAAAATATAAATTTCAATATTATTGTGGGGAGATACTCACAATAACTAATATCTATTATAATTTTTGCAATCTGATATCTGTAACTAAAATTTAAATTAGTATTTGTTAAGAAAAATTAAATATTGAAAATATGTGTAATTATATTCATTGTTTATAAGTATAATAAAGAATTAGCTATGTAATTTCCATTATTTAATATCTAAAATATCAAAATATGGTTAACTTTATTTAGCAATTATTGATAAACTAAGTTGAACGAACAAGAAATAAGAATGAAAGATCAAGATTAATAAATTCAATGCTTGTGTTTATAAGTTAGAATAGATACCTATAACCATAGCCACCAGGATATTGGTTTTCAGTAAATTTGATAACAGATAAGAATAAACGGAAAATTATTAACAGTGATACCATATATTAATATTAACATTGATTATAGAATTTTATAATGAATGATATTAATAATATAATACAATGCATTGGAATTTGGAAGTATTGAAACATTTGGAACAAATATAATTATTAATTTAATGCCAAGCACCCTTGCGAATTTTTCAGTTTTTTTCGAAACCTAAATAAATCAACGTTTTAATAATATTTTTATGCCAAAAGAAATTTGCGAAAATCATTAGTTTTAAGTCTATAGACTATAACCATTGATTATAGTTTATTATAGTTATAATAATAATAATAATTATAATTTATTATAGTTTATTCTATAATCAATGCTATAACCTTACGAAGTTCCCGATTTTTGATTTTTTACATAACGCACAACGCTTAAATTTTCTCCGTACCTACGTATTTCATGAACATTTTTTTTTTAATTTACGTATTTTAACCAGTAAAATATGATGGTAAAATCAAAATTTGTCGATCTGACTTAGTTTCGAAGATACAATGTATGGATTGTTTGGAAGATCACGATTTTACGTTGAGACGGGTAAAAATCTGACTACGCTCTAGAATGCAGGATGATCGCCTTACTTTGTTATATTTAAGTGTTCATAGAGAAGTTGAAATAAACATTGACTTGATTAATGACAGATTTTGAAAAAACAAAAAAGTAAAAAGACATATAGATTTTATTATTTAATTTATAAATATTATATAATATTAAATAATCATTAATTTATTTATTACATTTAATACCTATACCTACTATTATGATAACAATTTTAAATTATGAATAAAGTACCTATGAAAAATGTTTTGCTCCCTCTACAGATTTTTGCTCTGAAACCTAAGCCTGTCGGGCGTCTCCGCTCAAAATTGTTTTTCTTACACAATATCATTATATTTAAATTTAACTAACCCATAATAGTGACCCACCCGACCACAATGTATAACAGATCGGATATCGGTACCCCTTACTAACCTTTTATTTTTTGGCATTGAAACTATGAAAGTATTTTTCATTTTCCTTTATCTATCTCTTTGAATTCCGATCCTAAATAACTAAGAAAATAGAGGTTTAATCACCACCATCAAATTTGTTTTTAATGATTTTTGAAAAAAAGTTTTTTCCATCCAAACCTATTGAAGTTAAAATACCTACTGGTTAATATGGTAATCACTAATCAGAAAAAATAAATTCTTTTTACATAGAAAAATGGCGTTTATTGAGAATTTACAATTTGTACGTTATATACAATAGGTAAGTAAATATGATGTGGTAGAAAAAAAATAAATAAATAATAATTACAAATAGATACATATTAATTTATACAGAAAATGGCCAATTGAATAAACACTACGTACCTACACCATACTGCACATATGCAATAATATTAGTAGTATAGCATTATCAACATTAATTAATTTTATTTTTAAATTGGTTTTTTTATTTTTTTGCTACAACCACTAAGACATAAAACCGTATGTGTTTTATCTGTTGTACAAATATACAATACTGCAAATTTGTGTTCAATAATTTTATTTTATTGTTCTACAAAGCTATAATGTTGGATTGAATTTTAATTTTTATTGTCTTATTGTATTGTAATGAATGTTATCTATACATCAACATCGTAAATTGCTTCTTAGGTATAAACTATAAATGTTAGAACACGGCTTATATAGTTATATGATGAGTGAGAGGAATGGTAAGAGGGACCGGTTGCTTTGCTGACTTAAAGTTTTCCAACTCATGTTGTGATATATATAATAATGGTCGATGCATGTTTGGCGAAAATGTACGACACGAATAGAAATACGACAGCGAAAAAACTCCGCGACGATCAGTATGGTCATAAGCGAAAACCCACACTCATGGCTGGCACCTAGGCCAACCAGATCGAAAACGACGGAAACTTTCATTTTCATATTCTTGGTATCTACATGGTACATTATTTTATCGATGTATGACAAATATATACTTATATGAATTTATCAAGACTCGAGTATTATACTTAAATAAGGTAACCCTGATGACCTGATTTCTAGTGTTAATATAATACACCAAGCCGCCGATACTTCGTTAAAATAAACATAACTTTATCATAAAGAATACATTAAACGGTAGTAACCAGTTTTACAGTAAAAGTAACACTTTTATCGAAGTTATAGGAAAGAACATTATCTATGCTTAAGCGAGTTAAAAATTGGCCTTTTTCGATGTTACAACTTTTAAGCAAGATATGATTGTTGTAAGCATTACGAATTTAAAACACTTATTTTTAGCTTATAATTAGAACATCGAAAAAGCCAACGCTTAAGCGTTAAGCACTGATGTTTTTACCTTTTAACTTTGATAATAGATCAATTCATTTAAAGTCTTAAAAAATAATAGTTAAACGTTAAACAGTTCTAAATTGGTTCTACTGAACATAATTTTACTAAGATGTATGTTTGAAAGATTGACAGATCAGATGTTTGTGTAACGTCCTTTTTTAATACTAAATTAATACTCATTGGTTATACGACTCATCCACCCACCCATCAACCATCTATCATAAATAACTTGGAGGCCGTCGCCTCTAGATTACCACATTTACAATGCTTTTACTACTGATTAATACAGGTCAGAATTTTCCTTGGTAATGTCTAATTGATTTCTTTGATTTTTATGTTAATAATTTTGATTATTAAATACCTTGGTAAGAAAAGATCATTATAGTTGAAAGTCCTCTACTAGTCTACTAACTACTAACTTTAATAAACTCTTAACAATTTTAATGTAAATTATTTAAATAAAATACCTAGATATACAGTTTAAATATATATATTATATGAGTATTAAGTTTAATTTTTTAAATATTTTTGTTTGAGTTTAATTGTTGGTGTTGACTCGTTAAAATGAGTGTATGATTGTCATGTTAAGCTGTTGATTATTGACTTTAACTGTGATTTTAACTTTAAAAAAAATAATGAAAGTAAAACTGTAAAAATAATAAGTATTAATGAATTATAGGTAATAAAGTTAATAATTTTATAATATGTTAATATGTATAGCTAAATGGTATTGATAATTTTTAAATTTTAGGTAGTTATCTTATCAGTAAGCTTTAGTCATTAATTTATTTGTGATAACTGGTAGGTGATAGCCGATGGCGACATTAGTCTATTGCAGTATTGCCTATTTGTTAACTTAATGGCTAATGCTCATTTTTCATTCTTTGGGTTACATAAATTATTATTTTTAATTTGGATTCTTTTAAAAATAGTCAATACTTGAACGTAATTATCACGAACTTCCTTTACTTAAAAATGGCTGGGTGTTCTAGGGACAGCCAAATTGTCGATTCAGACAATATTCAAATCAATTTGCAGGTAAATTACTATTTTCCTAATTGAGTGTCTTTATGATAAAAAAAAAAAATATTATTTTTTTTTATGCTTATAAATCTTATGATATAGAAATCATCTTGTTGTTATGTATGCAATGGTTATTATGGATCATGTTTTGACGAGCAAATTTGTCAAACATGTCATTTATTCCTTTTTTCTGAAGAGCTCACACAAGCTGTCCAAGAGGATGTGCATAATACAATGGTAATAAAGTATATTAAAATAACACTATTTAAAAGAATAATAGACATAAATGAAACGAGTATGGTAGGTAATAAACAAAATAAATTATATTATTTTAGTCGATTGTCTATGTAGGTAATATGTATTACTTGTTTGATAAACAAATGTTTTGTTCTCATTATATTAAGTATGATACTGTTTCATTCTCAAATTGTGTGTTATAAGGATTTGTCTTAAATTATTTTTAGGTATTTTAAATACTATTATGAAACTGATAGTAAACATTAATTTTTTCGGTAGTCTGTAATAAACATAATACATAATTTATAAATATATAGTAAAATTTGATAATTCAAAATATATGTGACCAGAGAATTGTCTAATTGAAGTTAATCATTAACTGCTGAAAATGTACTATATTACATTGTTATACACTAGTAAGACGCTGGCGATAACTGCGGGCGTGGTGTGCTTTCAAAACTTATGTGTAGCAGATTTTATCGGCTCTGATATTTGGAAAAAATTTGAAAGGTTATTGGGCTATAATAGTTGTCCTAAAAGTATTCCATTAGCATATACTTTATAGTTTTTAACTTCATTAATTATAATGTTTTCATTTATTATTATACCATTAAATTTACTTATCTGCAACTCATATATAATATTTTTAATATTTATTAAAATAATGTAAATGCTTTTATTTATTTAAAAATTTTAAGATGAAACAGTAAATGTAGTGGTGATGAAAAGGCCTAAATTCTACATGTACATAATCTAAAACACTAGTACAATTATGAATTTTTAATTATAAGGTAGATGGAGTTAGAATTATAATAATTTAATTACTACATTAACTTATTAAAAAATAAAAATTTATCTGTTGGAGATATGTATATAAAAAAATAACTTACATTTTTAACAAGGTTTATTAAGTTATTATCTTATTATTTTTAATTAAATGTTGTCTTTAAAATAAATGTGTATTAAGGGAGTTGAGGATGGAGATAGTGGAAATGATGAACCAGCAGATATATTTTATAATGGTTTTCAACGACCAGTTCAAGATGTACCTCTTGACGCGCGTGAACAAGCTGGTCCATCACAAGATCTTGCACGACGACTTCAATTATTATCAGAATTATCAGCTCTACGTTCTCAACCCTTTGATGATGATAGTGATTATTTCCAAGAACTTCCTCCAGAAGGTATTTTTTTTATAGTTTATATCATTATTGTAATATTTATTTACATAATAATGTTTATAATTTTATTATTTTTGACAGTTTTGTTAACTGTATTTTCATATTTGGATGACTTCAGTTTGTGGTGTGTAAGTAAGGTATGCACACGTTGGAATCAATTGTTACGTTCACATATCCCACAAACATGGCGTAGGTTTGTAGTTAATTGTTGGCCTCTTTACCAGCCATTAAAACCTGTTGATGATTGGCTTTCAGTTAGCTCAGCTCTGTTAGTATGCCTCTTTGTTGTGTAAATCAAAAAATAAATTAGCTTAAATAAATGTTTATTTGTTCATTTAATAGATTTGCTAGTTCATCATGCTTATTATGTATACGTCGAATGTATTATCGTCCACACGCTGAATGTCAAGAAAATTCATGGAGAAGAAGACGATTACGACATGAAGTCAAAAGTTAGTATTTATAATTTATAATTATGTTAAATTAAAAATTATTTTATGGATATTGAACTTTTTTTCTATGCATTTTCAATTATAAAAGCAAAAATAATGTTAGTACAATACTAAAATTATAACATAATTGGTTAAAAATTGTTAATTCATAAGATTGTAAAAATCAAAAATACATGTTAATTTTAAGTAAATTTTTTAATATTTAGTTAAATTATAACATCTAATTACTTAATTTATTTAGCTACTAAAAGTCTTTAATTTATATGTAAAATATATGTAGTACAATAATACAAGAATTTATTTTTAAGTTATTTTATTTAATATACCCATTAGAAATATTAAAGTACTAATTTTGTTAGTAAATGGACCCGTTATAAGCGGTTTATATTAAAAATTACTTTCTTGTTGTATTCTAAATTTATTAATTCGTGTTCGTTTAAATTCTTCATTGTAAGAAAAAATTACTATGATTTTCTGATCAACATAAAAATCTTCATATCACTTAACTAAATCAATTAGTTTTGTACCTAAATTTTCTGAAGAAATATTTAGTGCATTATCAAGGTATTTTAAAGGAATAAAAACTAATGCAATACATCTACATGTATGGAAAAAAGTTATTTATATAAATTTTATTATTTTATCACTTATAACATATGTATACTTTATATAAACAAATCAGTATTACAGTAACTTGTATAATTTTTTATTGTTTAAACTAAATTTATTATAAGTACATGAATTACATTCCTATTTCACTATAAAATTACAAACAAAAATAATTTTTACCAGTGTGTATTTTTATTTTATCATTGAAGTGTCCGATTCTCAAATTTTATATTAATGTATAAAATGAAACTTACTTATATTTTTGTTCAGATTTAAAGACTGATCCACCTGAAGGCATCAGAGCAATATCTCTAGATAATCATTGGTGTCACTGGCAAGCCACAATTTTAGGACCAGCTGGTAGTCCTTTTGAAGGAGGAAAATTTTTTCTGTATATACAAATACCTTATGGGTTAGTTGAAATGATCTTACTAAAATATTGTTGAAAATTACTACTAATTTAATTTTAATTGTTATTTGTTTTAGCTATCCAATGACTCCTCCAGTGGTCAGATTTTTAACTAAAATATTTCATCCTAATATTTCTCGTCATGGGGACATTGGAATAGATTCACTCCATTATAATTGGAGCTTAGCATTGACCATTGCTAAAGTATTGATTTCTATTCAATCACTGCTAACTGATCCATTTTGTGATGTATGCATGGAACCTGACATTGCACGTCTTTATAACAATGATCGACAGACATACAATACTATTGCACAATATTGGACTCATCGATTTGCTATGAATGATATATTAACTTGGACTAATTAAGTAATTCATTTTAGTTTTTAATTTTCCTTTATTACGTTTAAAGATCTGGTTGCCAATTACCATACTAAATTTATGATCATAACTTATAAAGCGGTGTTAAATAAGCTATACTAAATTTTAAGAAAGGATATATATCAGTTAAGTAATGTAATATGTTATTACTATAAGAAAATAATATATATATATATTTTTTTTAATTATAAGATTCAAATTTGTTATAGTTTTTAATTATATCTAAACTAATGTATAATAAATTATAATAATGTTATAGTGTAATATTAATTAGCTATAAAGATATTAATATGAAAGTTAATTAAATTAGAAGTCACAATTATTAAAGTTGACCATTATCTTAACTTATATAATGTTCGAAATATATTAAATGTAATTATTTTTATTTTTAATAAATATTTTGTACAAAATATACCATTATATAATTGTATATGAGTGATGCTATGAAGTTATTAGACTTAGGATAAATTAATATGTTTATCTAAAAGTCCCCCTTCTTAAATCACTCCTTCAACATTGTTAGATAATGAATTATATTATCAAATATTATTAATAATATTGAGTTATACCATTGAGTATATATATAATACTAATGTACTATATATACTCAATTGTTTTATATACAATGTAAATCCAACAAGTTTAAGGTTTGTAAACTTTTTCTGTAACCTTAATTGTTTGAATGAGAAAATACAATAGAGGGCTAAGTTTGTTTAACATTAACAAGCTTTGTAGGACTGGATATTGAAAAAGACACCACTCTCTGGTCCTGACCATTGGTAGCTAATTTTTTTTTTGAGCTGTTGACTGGAAATCAACTTATTTTTAGGTTATTTATTATTTATTTTAGGTTTCTGGTATACAAAGAAGGATATGGTAATATCTTTTCTCTAGGTGCTCTAGATTTGACCAGATTGAAAGACCACTTACTCTTTTAAACTGGGTGTTTAAAATTTAGTCTTTATAACTGAGGTAAATCAGTCATAAAGTTTTCATTCATAAATTCTAGGCTCAAAGTATAATTGTTAAATTATATATATGTATATACTGCTACAATAATTATGATAATTATAAAAATCAAGAAGAAAGTTATTGTAATAAAATATTAATATTTTTCACAATTACTGGCCACAACAATTGTAATTGTGTATTATTTTTTTTTTAAATAACGGTTAAAAAAATTTTCTGGATTCATTACAAATTCAAGCATATAATATATTATAGTAAATAAGATGTTTAAAGAAAAATTATTTTATAGTATTAATATTTAATACTTACCTCTGCCCAAGACGAATATTATTAAAATATTTTATATATATAAATACCAGAGTTAATTGTAAAAGGGTTAAGCTATATTCAAAGGTGTAATCTAGGGTGAATTTTTGGAAGGAAATTATGCCAAAATACAAAATCTATCTTTACCCCCTTTTTCACAGAGGTATTCTTTTTAATATATAATCAGCATTATATTATGTATTATAATATAATATAATATTATGATTATTTATTATTATCTTTAACATGAACAAAAGAAGAAATTATACAATACTATAAAGTATTGAGTTTTTTTATGTAAAAATAAATTTAATTTTAACTTAAAACAGTGGGAGATTTTATTCCCCTACCCAAAGTCAAATGACTGGAAAGGTCATTGTTTCTTATGGTCATCCCTAAATTATGCCAATGACTATTTGAAAAAAAAAACTTTTTTAATGTTGACGTTACTATAATTAAGTAAAAAAAATATTTAACTTTAAATGTTTCAAAAGCCTATAATGTAATATGTTTAAGGCATAAAACAAAATTAACAATAGTTTACAAATAATGTACATGACAAAATAAATAAAAAATTTAAACAATACAACAAATGGAATAAAAATATTTAACAATATTCACTTTACTACAGTTAAAAACTGTTATACACATAGCATACATTTTCTATAATTACATATTTGTTTTCTCGTCTAAATATGAAGTAGTTGGAGAATAACAATATAATTTTTAATAAATAATACTTAAGTATGTTGAAAGCTAGAGAAGTTTTACATAAAAAATAAATTAATTTAAAAATTGGTAGTTATATAGAAACAATAATTTTAATATGAAACTCATACGTAGACATGTTTTTCTTTGAATAGGATAAAGTAATGAGTTACATAACATTATTTAAACATGATATTCATAGAAATCAATACTTTTTTGTAATCTTTTAACGCTTTGATGATTGATAGGCAGAAACCCTTAGAAAGTGGTAATAATGGATATCCAGGAACAAGTTTTTCATCTAAAAGTTAATAATAATAAAAAAAAAAAAAAAAATGATGTGATTATACTAAATATTAAATAATATCATGTGAATTAATTTACATAAAATCACAGGTATGCTTGAGTACCTCCTGATATTTTGTAATTGGAAATCTAAAATTTAAGTCCCAGAATAAAGGGGCATATTTTATGTGATGTTATTAGATTATACAAAATTTATGATAAAATATAATGTTATAAAAAAACTTATGTTTCTGTGATATAATTTATCTAAAAAAATATAATGTGAAATACTCTTTGATTTTACTTGTAAAAATATAACATTGAATATCACATAATAATGTCTTAAAATCATAAAGAAAAATAGAAACTATTCCAGGAATGGATTCCAATAATATTTGTTGGAAATTGGTGCTGTCACTACTGTTAAATATTATACAATTTTAGTATAATACTAAATTCTATGATACAATAAGTAACCATTGTTCATAGAAAAACACTATATGGACCTTGAAGTTAAGTTTTATGTAAATTAGAAAATCAACACATCTTTTGTTTGTCACAAACATGGAACTATTTTAACTATTCAATATATTCACAAACATTATCAGCATTGTTATATTTATTTTTAATTTAAATCATAAGACCTAAAAATAGATTTCAAAAGAGAAAAGAAAAAATTCTAAGAGATGTAAAGTTCAGAAAATGAATATGATTTTTTGATAGGTATATATTCTATTAGAAATAAATCGTAATAATTATTAAAATAAATAAGTTTTCATAAAGTTCACCAATGATAAAATATAAAATATTGGGAATCAGCATAAATTTTTTTTTAATCTTGACTTTTGTCCCACCGCCAAGTAAAAGGCATATATCCTTATAATTATATATTTGTTATTATTATATATAAATATAATAACAAAATTAAAGTTATGTAAATCCATACAAAATTATTAATTTAAGTTAATTGCTTTGTGCGCTCAAAAATATTATAGGCACTCCCTCCTAAAATTTATATCAACTTATATCTATGATAAATTATAATATATAATAACCTAATATTATTGTAGAAAATTAGTTACTACATTACCTTCAGTTAATTCTCTTTCAGACATTTTAATCCAATTTTCAATTGTATTGATTAATCTAAAAATATTTATAAAATTATCAAAATCATTCTATTACATAATTTAAACATATAAAACATACTTTGGACCATGTATTTTTACGTGTTCTAGTATTTCTTCTTTAAAATACCCTGTATTTTTAACGTCCCTAAATTAAAAAATTAATATATTAAAATTAACAATAATTATTTTATGTTGATATAAAAACAATGGGTGTTCTCAAAGAGGAAATCTGTTTTTTTTTTATTGAAATTAAGCCTGGCGACTAGGGCTATTAGCTGTTATAGTGGTTATAAACTGTGGTAGCCAGTGGTAGGGGTATGGTTGGTACAGTAGGTTGTTTTTACGATTCTGACAGTTGACAGCAAATACGTGTATGTATGGCAAGGTTTTTAACCACTATGAACCCGGATGGATATCAATCTGGAAGCTAGTAGCTGTGGCCGTTACTTACTCCCAATCGCATTTCACGACTGGCCAACGTGCCACGCCAAGCCACTAAATCTGTTTTTATAATCCTGAATAACTGATAATAATTACCAGTATAAAAATAAAAATAATTTTTTAAAATGTTTATGCACTTACTGTGTGTCAAAAGATATTTATTTTATGATAGTAAATAAGTTAATTTTATTTTTTACTTTTTATTAATCATTTGAAAAATATATTATATTTAACATTGACTCTAACATTCATATCAAAAGTATTGTAAATTTCTAAAAACAGCCATAGATGTTAGGTTAGGTTATGTTTAATCAATACTACCTAAAACATACTAATAACTTAAAGTATCACTCTTAGGAGTGATTATTTTTAATGATTAAATTTTTGCATAACTTAAACCCCTAACTTTTACCTTAACTAAAAAAATATTTAATCCTTTAACTACTTTTACACAAAGTCTCACTAAAATTTTGTTCCAGAGCAGCTTTTTTTCTTATTAACAGCATAAAAAATAGAAATCTCTAACCAATAATACTAATTCCAAAATATAAATTTTTTTTACTTACGAATAATGCATGTTTAAGTTTAACATATTTGTCATTGATTGCACTACTTTGATCAGAGCCATTTCATTATACACCCGCGAATTTTCTTTTGCAAGTTTTTGACCACGCTGAGAATCAAATCCAGCTTCATTATAATACGGTTCACTCACTAATATCAGTCCTGAAACAATTACATAATATTAATAATAGAGTTAATATAAAAATATATTTTTGTTACCTTGTATTGATACTAGAAGCTGTAATAAATTAGAATCATTAGGCGACCATAATTCAACACCATGACCAGACCAAGTACCTAAAAGACTAAGGCATACTTTTCCATCTTCATACAGATTTGGATTCAATCTGTCATCACAATAACTATAATAATGACAGAGAGGGGGTTGAATTGGATAGGTGGGTGGAATTTTGATATCAAATAGAAACAAACCACCAGCATAAGGAGTTTTTTCAGGTCCTCTAATCATTACAGAAAACAAATCCTGAAATAACAACAAAACAATCAAGTCAACATACTAGAGAAATAAATTATTATTTTTTTAACTTCAATATTTTACCTATTATTTAAATAATATTAAAAATGAACTAATTAAATATTGTATAGTTTTTTTATACATATAATAGTATAGCATTATTAATTACCACACGATTTTCAAAAGTTTTCACCCAAATTCCTGCAGGTAAACTTTTTTGAAGTATTTGGATGTCTTTGGCAATAACTTTTGACAATGATGAATG